AAAAGGTGGAGATGTATTTGCATAGCTTTGCTCATCATGATGTAAACTAGGAAATGTTTTTCGCTGTATCGTAATGTCCGAAGTAAAGGGAGAATTTCTTGGTGAGCTTGATTGCACATTTTTCATACCCAGATAACAGAAACTGGAAAGTCAACCGATGAAAAGTAAAAGTTTAGGCTCTTGTTATTGTTTGGATTCAATCATATGAAAGTTCTCCCCGATCAACTGCCCATTGCTAAAAACCTTGTCAACAAAGATTGTATTCAGAAAAGTTGGATGATCTGCACTGCTCCTGTTTTGCAAACTTATTATGGTAGTAAAATAACACCAATCTTCTTATGTTGTTTCCTAGTCATTGTGGTCTTAATATATTTTACAATGTTGCGTAAATTTCGAGCGAGTGAATTCCGATTGTACTCATGTTACGAAACACGTTCGCTCTCAGGCCGGTTTAAAACGGAAATTTTTAGACTGATATTATAGCATTACCAAGGTTTCGTAGCAGCACGAAGTAAGGGCCTGTTTAAATGGAAGGAGGGTGCCCCGGCTAACCGGGCTACCCGGCTAGAAGGATTAACACATAGCCCGCCTTTACATGCAACTCACCTAACCGGGACAGTGTGTGAGTGCCTGGACTATCTTTTGAGTGGCCGCTAAGCACAACAAACAAAATGGCCGACCAATGAATTTTTTTGACATCTTATTTCAGCTTCGTGCACGGGCACGGGCGTGTTCTCTGCCTGAGACTCATTTATTACATTGATCTCTTCAGATTGACTGTCATTCAGTTCGGCAGATAACACCGTCAAATGGTAACTACGAAAAAAATTCACCTCGCGCGGCCATGTTTTTGCGATTTATCTCACCTTGGCTAGCCGGGATTGCCCGGCACGAACCGTTTACATGGTAAAAAGCTATCCCGCCTAGACGGGTGCCCCGGGCAAGATGACAGGGTGCCCCGAGTAGGCGGACTACCCTGTCTAGCATGTAAACGCTTCAATGCGTTTTCTAAAGAAACGTATGAGAAGTTAGCCCTCCCAGGGTAGCTCGGTTAGCCGGGTAGCCAGGTTAGCCGGGGTAACCTCCCACAAGTAAACAGGCCATAAGATATCGCTTTGACGAACCACACGATGTTTTTGAAGTTCATTTTTTAATGAAGACAATACATGTTTCGGATCACACATCATCCATCGTCAGTTGTTATAAAATCTTTTGAATTATGAATGTATATCAGTCTGATAGGAATTTTATGCTTGTCTGGCAACATTGTTTCAAAGTATGTTAATTACACTACTTTCTTTTCGTATTTTTATAACCTCACATGCCTTTGTTGAATATCTACATGGACCTAAATTACCCCCCGGCATCAAAAATTCAATCTATAGTTTGACTAAGGTAATTTACTCGTTTTTCATTTTTGTCGTAAACTGTGTCCAATCCAACAAACGTGGTTAAGCTAATAAGACTAATTCTTGCCATCTTCATTACTTTTCGCGTTTTTAGAGCAAACTTTCTATTTTTTTTTTCAGATTGTATTCGGTATTGAAACTCATTAAAAATCATCGTCTACGCTCTGCTGCTTCAAGGGGGCAGCCTACCCTTATTTTGACAATTTTTGCAATCATCGAGTTCTGGTTTCCTTTCAAAGGAATAGCCAACATATGTCCACAAAAGTTCTCAATTGTTCAATGAGTGAGTGCCAACTGGTAATATACATTTGGGCCTGACCGCAAACATGCCCATTTTGTGGCAAAGGTGCAAAACATGACATACTATCCAGAAGATCAAGTTACATTTTGCATACAGCAGGTAAGATAACTTTATGCAATGAACCTAAAACTTACATGATCTGTTCAATATAAGGTCATGCTTTCACTGTGCAAACTGTCAGATCCGAACTTGGTTAAGCAATAAAACATTCAAGTTATTAACGATCCAACACATTGCACAATTCAGGCTAGATTTGAGGTTCATTGCATAGGAAATTTATCACAAATTCCAAAAATGTATGGATTGTGGGCCATATTACAAAACGCCAAAAAGTCACAATTGCTAAATGACACTAAAATTGGCCCGTAAAGTGATTTTCAGAAAATGCAGAAGAAAGTTGAACATATAAATGTCATTGAATAAGTGTTTCAAAATCCTCCAGAAACATAAGTTTCTCCTTCATTCTCAATATTGCTCTTCTCCTGGTGTCTCCTTTCAGTTCTTCTTTGCTGTCTTGCAGTCAGTGCACCCTCCCGAGTCTTTCTTTCTGCATGGTAGGTACGTTTGGTGTCCTCCTTTTCTGCCCTTTCCGAAACGTACTTCCCTGGATTTAGGCCACACCTTTTCATGATGTTTTCAGATGTGTGTGAACCATCACTGAAGCGTGCTACAGCCAAGGCACATGCTGTCTCCACAGAATTGAGGCCAGCAAAGCTTTCTTCTGGGCACAAGCTCCAAACTACTGAGTTCAAAGACTCAGGAAGACTGGGTCGAGTAATGGCGACGTAAAGACGTGCGTTGCTGCCGCCCGCCGATCTTTCTGCTCTGTT